CGCATTTTCTTGTGTTTAAATAGTTTATGCTTGTGTACGTTGAGGATCATCTCCTCCAATTTATTTTTTCACTGAATAAAGCATTAAGCTTGTGAAATCCCCTGTTTCTTCCTTTTTCGTTTTTTTTTGTCACTGTTTCATTGAAGTCTTGAAGACACAGGTTTGTGAAAAACCTACATTTGGTATCAGAGCGGATCTGGTAGTGTATGCCCAAGTATCAATCTCGCGAAGAGATGACAGTTGGTAGCAGTGGTGGCAACAACGGAAATGGTGAGAAAGATGGTCAAGTTACACTCCATTATTCGATGCTGACAAGATCGAATTATGGTACATGGGCGATCAAGATGAGTCTTCATGTTGGCACAGGGTGTATGGGATGCAGTTGAGCCCAGAACTGCAAATACCCTTGTTGAATCAAAGAAGGATAACATGGCGTTGGCAGCCATTTATCAGGGAATACCTGAAGACCTTCTAATGGTGTTAGCGGAGAAGAAGACGGCGAAAGAAGCATGCCAAGCCCTAAAAACAATGTTCGTGGGAGCAGACACGGTGAAATCAGCTCGAATTCAGACGTTGAAAGCTGAATTTGAAGCATTGACGATGAAAGAGTCAGAAAGTGTGGACGATTTCGCAGGAAAAATCACAAACATTGTAAATACTATGCGAACACTAGGTGAGACGGTTCAAGAGTCCTATGTTGTGAAGAAATTACTTAGGGTAGTCCCAAGCAAATTTCTTCAAATTGCTTCAACTCTCGAACAATTTGGAGACTTAGACGAGATGTATGTGGAAGAAGTTATCGGCCGTCTAAAAGCGCATGAAGAGAGAATGAAAGGATTTGGAGAAAGTGATGATCGGAAACTTCTCCTGACTCATCAGGAATGGTCAGAGAGAAACAAGAAAAAAAGAGAAGGAGATGCGAAATCTAAATCAAATCGTGGCAGTTCCAGTGGTTCTCGAGGTAGAGGCAGAGGTCGAGGAAGAAACAACAGTGGTGGTCGCGGCGGTTGTGGCAGAGGTGATCACAATAATCAGAAAAACTCAAACATGCATGGATCAAGCAGTTTTGACAAGAGCAAGGTATAATGTTACAATTGTCAAGAGTATGGTCATTATGCTGCTGAATGTAAGAACCCTAGAAAGGAGAGAAGTCATGAAAGTAATTTGATCCATGAAGACAATGAACCTGCATTGCTACTCTCGTTTATTGATGGAAGAGAAGAGACAGGGGAAGTATTTCTAAATGAAGAAAACCTGAAACCAGAGTTGAAAACAAAGGGTGGCTGCTTGAATCAATCAAAGGTTTGGTATCTTGATTGTGGGGCCAGCAATCACATGACTGGTGATAAATCAAAGTTTAAAACTTTGAATGAGTCGATCCATGGCCAGGTGAAGTTTGGAAATGATTCCAAAGTAAGGATTGATGGAAAAGGCTCGATCGTGTTCAAGTGTAAAGATGGTGGAAGTCGAAAACTTGATAATGTATACTATATTCCTGATCTATGTAGTAACATTATCAGTTTAGGTCAACTGGCGGAAGGTGGAGATGAAATAAGGATCAAGGACCCATTTTTATGGGTGCATGACTCGTCTGGAAAACTACTCATGAAGGTTCGCAGGTCAAGCAACAGACTCTACAAGATAGAGCTGGAAGCAGTTCGTGTTGTGTGTCTAAACATTGAAACTGATGAGTCAATGTGGCTATGGCATAAGCGACTTGGACACACGAACTTTAACTCCTTGAAACAAATGGTTGACAAAGAGATGATCACCGGAGTGCCAAAGATCAAGATTCCTTCATCGCCCTGTGAAGGATGTTTGGTGGGAAAACAGATGAGGAACCCCTTTCCAGCACAAGCATCGTTTAGAGCAAAGAAGAGACTTGAGTTAATCCACAGTGACTTGTGTGGACCAGTCTCACCACCCACACCGTCTGGGAATAGGTATTTTATGCTGATTGTTGATGATTTCAGCAGGGTAATGTGGGTGTATCTGATGAAAACTAAAGACGAAGCATTTCAGGTGTTCAAGAATTTCATAAATAAAGTGGAGACCGAAACAGGGGAGAAGGTGAAAGTGCTGAGAACAGATAGAGGCGGTGAATTCTTGTCGAATGAGTTCACAAGATACTGCAAGGAGACTAGCATGGAGAGGCATTACACGTCTCCCTACTCTCCACAGCAAAATGGAGTAGTAGAGAGACGAAATTGCACAGTACTGGAGATGGTGAGATGCAATTTGAAGACGATGACAATGCCAGATAGCTTGTGGGGAGAGGCAGTGTCACACTCTATTTATGTCTTAAACAGAGTTCAAACAAAAGCGCTAAAGGACTCAACTCCATATGAAGCTTGGACTGGGAGGAAACCACAAATCAATCACCTTAGAGTCTTTGGGTGTGTAGCTCACATGAAGATTGCAAAGGGATATCTAAATAAGCTCGAAGACAGAAGCATGTCATTGGTCCATCTCGGAATCGAAAAAGGTTCGAAAGCATATAGATTACTAGACCCAGATACAGGAAAAATGTATGTGAGTCGAGACGTGGTATTCGAAGAAGAACGAGCTTGGAATTGGGAGAAAAGTGTGAAGATCAAATCAACAACAGGAATGAGTTTCACGGTGGAAGGATTTGAATTCACTGAAGAATTCTTTGAAGACGAAGAAGAATGGGCACCGGATGCTCCAAATCAAGAAAACGGGTCTCAAAATTCAAATAATTGGGGAATTGATGACCAATTAAGTGACTCGGGTCACCCAGATTATATTTCCCCAATATCCCCAATAAACTCTCCGGTAACGCCCAATTCACCAATTTCCCTAGATTCACAGAGCTCTCACTCCAATCCTAACACCGCATCAAGTTCAACCGGCGGTGGCGTACCAAAACGATACAAATTACTCACCGATCTATACGAAAACACAGAGGAAATCCACTTACCCCCTGAAGAATTAATGATGATGAGTTTCGATGAAGAACCAACATCATACGAAGAAGCTAGTGTAAAGAAGGAATGGCGAGACACAATGGAGGTGGAATTGGATGCAATTGAAAGAAACAACACATGGAGTTTGGTAGATCTCCCAAAGAATCGAAAGCCGATTGGATTGAAATGGGTATTCAAATTGAAAAGGGATCCGATGGGAAAAATAGTCAAGCACAAAGCGAGACTGGTGGCGAAGGGATACGTACAGAAACAGGGCATCGATTATGGCGAGGTGTTCGCACCGGTAGCTAGAATCAAAACAATTCGATTGATTCTAGCCCTCGCAGCCTCAAATGGATGGAAGGTGCATCACCTAGATGTGAAATTAGCATTTCTAAATGGCGAGTTAGAAGAGGAGGTCTACGTGTCTCAGCCAGATGGCTATCAGAAGAAAGATGAAGCTCACAAGGTACTAAAGCTCTCTAAAGCGTTGTACGGCTTAAAGCAAGCTCCCAGAGCTTGGAACGCATGTTTGGATAAGTACCTGAAAGATCTGGGATTCAAAAGATGCCCTCAAGAGTATTCGGTCTACACAAGAAAGAAAGGTGAAAGTACACTGATCGTTGGGGTTTATGTCGATGATTTGCTAGTGACAGGGAGCTCAACTGAAGAAGTGAAGAAATTCAAGATGGAGATAAATGCAAAGTTTGAAATGAGCGACCTTGGGCTTCTAACATACTACCTGGGAATTGAGGTATGTCAACAAAACCAATGCATTACTCTAAAACAAGAGGCCTATGCTAGAAAACTGCTAGAAAAGACACGAATGCTTGACTGTAATCCTACAAGATGTCCCGTGGAGCATAAGTTATCATTAACTAAGGAAGGAGATGGAGACTTGGTGAATCCCACATAATATAGGAGCATTGTAGGTGGACTCAGATACTTGACCCATACAAGACCAGACCTGTCCTTTGCTGTGGGTGTGGTTAGTCGTTTCATGGAAACACCCACCAAAGTCCACCTGCAAGCTGTAAAAGGAATACTAAGGTACATCAAAGGAACTCTGGACCATGGTTTGATCTACACACAGGGAGAGAACAAGATCACAATATCAGGATTTTCAGATAGTGATCATGCAAAGGATGTAAATGACAGGAGGAGTACAGGGCACATGGTTTTCTATGTGAATGGTCACATGGTCACATGGTCATCACAAAAACAGAGATGTGTAGCTCTGTCTTCGTGTGAGGCTGAGTTCATGGCAGCCACTATGACAGCATGCCAAGGTATTTGGCTAAGAAGATTGCTAACAGAGATAACAGGTCAAAATATTACTCCAGTAAGGATGTTTGTTGATAAGAAATCAGCCCTAGAACTTATGAAGAACCCAATGTTTCATGGTAGGAGTAAACACATAGATGTGAGGTTTCATTTCATCAGGGAGTGTGTTGAAAATGGGGAAATTGAAGTAACACATGTAGATGGGAAGGAACAAAAGGCAGACATGCTTACCAAGCCATTAGCCAAGGTGAAGCATGATGAAATGTGCAGGATGATTGGCATCAAGAAGATTGGAGCTCAGAATTAAAGGGGAAAATGTTATTATAATTCTGAGTTTAGTAAGTTTTTATTAAGTTTTTATTAATGCACGTTTTAATAGTTAGCAAGAATAAATCAAAGTCATGTAGGCTATGCAGTCCGGGTCTCATGTTAGGTGGAGTTACTTGCTAATTAGTCGCATTTTCTTGTGTTTAAATAGTTTATGCTTGTGTACGTTGAGGATCATCTCCTCCAATTTATTTTTTCACTGAATAAAGCATTAAGCTTGTGAAATCCCCTGTTTCTTCCTTTTTCGTTTTTTTTTGTCACTGTTTCATTGAAGTCTTGAAGACACAGGTTTGTGAAAAACCTACAGAGGATTAAGGTAATGATACATAATCGTTCATTTTCATAGATTTTCTAACTTCGTTAATATGTTTATGGTACTAAAAGAGGACGTTGGTTTATCAGGAATTAGTCCCTGAAATTGTGGCTAGCACCAAAAGCTTGCTAGATAAAATGGGAGCAAAAATGTGTGTGGAAAACAGTCTCGAATTAGACGTATACAAAGAATTCAACAACCTCTCAGCATACGTAATATCAAGAACTGCATTCAGTAGCAATTTTGAAGAAGGAAAGCGCGTCTTCGAGTTGCAAGATCAGCTTGTTAGGATTGCATCGGAAGCCATACGAAGTGTTTACATCCCCGGATTCAAGTATGTGTCAAACGAACAACGTACTACCATTTCTTTTCGTTGCATGTGTTCATGCAATAACATTTTCTACATGTATACAGGTATCTTCCAACCAAGAAAAACCGTTTAAGCTGGAACCTTCAACGAGAATCAAAAGAGATGATTACAAAGATCATCGAGAAGAATAACAAAACGAAGGAAAACCCTAAAGCTCTACTTTCGTTGTTAATCTCTCCTTACAAGACGGGGAACATAGAGAAGAGACTCAGTCTCGACACTACTAGAAAAGGGTGTAAGTTGCCACAAAAAATACCTACAAATTTTTTCTGTAGGAAAATACCTACGGAATAGCAACAAAATTCCTACGAAATAAAGTTGCCCTAATTTAATAACGGATTTCCTACAGAATAGCTACAGAAAATAATTTTGTAGTAATTTTGTAGGTAATTTGCTACAGAATACCTACGGAAACGAGAAAAACTATATTATTTCAAATTTTGTAGGTATTTTGTAGGTAATTTACTACTGAATACCTACGGAAAAGAAGATTTTCAAATTTTGTAGGTAATCGGTAGTAAACATTTTTATTTCCCTCCTTATTCTTTATATTATTACTAATATATTTTGCTTTATTTATATTATTATTACATTTAAAACTATAATTTATTTTTATTCTTATATTTATAATTATTGTTTTATTTTTATTATTCTATATATCTCTAAATTTATAGTTATTATGTTTTATTTTATAAAATTATTATTATTATTATTATTATTATTATTGAAACGAGTCATGAATTTCGATGGTAAATACGATTGTATGTATGTTTATATGATGTATAAATTGTTGAAAAAATTAAATAAAATAAACGACATTTGACCATCGAAAAATTGATAATACAAAAACTACCGTAGGTAATCTGTAGGTAAATACCTACGGATTACCTACAACCGTTTTTTGTATTTTTTATTTTTCGATGGTCAAATGTCGTTTTTTTCGTTACATCTTTTTCACAACTTCATTATATTTTGATTACTTAGTTTTGACTAAGTTATACATAATGTTAATGCATGTATAACTGTGTGTACCATTATAACCATTACCCATTCAAAGTTTTATCATTTTTATTTGTAAAAATGCATGATATTTCCAGTACAAAAGAATATACGGGCACATAAATACAAACAATCTCATATGTATGTATTATATTTAGTTTATCATGTATATGTTAAATGATGGTTAATTGTGGTTCAAGAAAAAACCATATATAGTTTTTATATTATGTATGATGTATAATAATGAGTTGTAATGGTGAAAACGGTTGTACGTACGTTTATATCATGTACAACTTGGTGAAATGTTAGTAATCAACGTATAATGATGTTGTGAAAAAAAAATTAAATGAAATAAACGACATTTAACCCTCTAAAAATTGAAAATACAAAAACTATCGTAGGTAATCTGTAGGTAAATACCTACGGATTACCTACAGATAAAGGATATCCGTAGGTAATCTGTAGGTATTTACCTACGGATTACCTACAACAGTTTTTGTATTTTCTATTTTTCGATGGTCAAATATCGTTTTTTCGTTTCATCTTTTTCACAACTTCATTATATTTTGATTACTTAGTTTTGACTAAGTTATACATAATGTTAATGCATGTATAACTGTGTGTACCATTATAACCATTACTCATTCAAAGTTTTATCCTTTTTATTTGTAGAAATGCATGATATTTCCGGTACAAAAGAATATACGGGCACATAAATACAAACAATCCCATATGTGTGTATTATATTTAGTTTATCATGTATATGTTAAATGATGGTTAATTGTGGTTCAAGAAAAAACCATATATAGTTTTTATATTATGTATGATGTATAATAATGAGTTGTAATGGTGCACACGGTTGTACGTACGTTTATATCATGTATAACTTGGTGAAATGTTAGTAATCAACGTATAATGATTTTGTGAAAAAAAAATTAAATGAAATAAACCACATTTGCCCCTCTAAAAATTGAATATACAAAAACTATTGTAGGTAATCTGTAGGTATACCTACGGATTACCTACAGATAAAGGATATCCGTAGGTAATCTGTAGGTATTTACCTACGGATTACCTACAACAGTTTTTGTATTTTCTATTTTTCGATGGTCAAATATCGTTTTTTTCGTTTCATCCTTTTCACAACTTCATTATATTTTGATTACTTAGTTTTGACTAAGTTATACATAATGTTAATGCATGTATAACTGTGTGTACCATTATAACCATTACCCATTCAAAGTTTTATCCTTTTTATTTGTAGAAATGCATGATATTTCCGGTACAAAAGAATATACGGGCACATAAATACAAACAATCCCATATGTATGTTAAATGATGGTTAAATGTATTTAGTTTATCATGTATATGTTAAATGATGGTTAATTGTGGTTCAAGAAAAAACCATATATAGTTTTTATATTATGTATGATGTATAATAATGAGTTGTAATGGTGCACACGGTTGTACGTACGTTTATATCATATACAACTTGGTGAAATGTTAGTAATCTATGTATAATGATGTTGTGAAAAAAAATTAAATGAAATAAACGACATTTAACCCTCTAAAAATTGAAAATACAAAAACTATCGTAGGTAATCTGTAGGTAAATACCTACGGATTACCTACGGATAAAGGATATCCGTAGGTAATCTGTAGGTATTTACCTACGGATTTCCTACAACAGTTTTTGTATTTTCTATTTTTTGATGGTCAAATGTCGTTTTTTTCGTTTCATCTTTTTCACAACATCATTATACTTTGATTACTTAGTTTTGACTAAGTTATACATAATGTTAATACATGTACAACTGTGTGTACCATTATAACCATTACTCATTCAAAGTCTTATTCTTTTTATTTGTAGAAATGTATGATATATTCGGTACAAAAGAATATACGGGCACATAAATACAAAGAATCCCATATGTATGTATTCTATTTAGTATATGATGTATATGTTAAATGATGGTTAATTGTGATTCAAGAAAAAACCATCTATAGTTTTTGTATTATGTATGATGTATAATAATGAGTTGTAATGGTGCACACGGTTGTACGTACGTTTATATCATGTACAACTTGGTGAAATTTTAGTAATCGACGTATAATGATGTTATGAAAAAAAATTAAATGAAATAAACGACATTTGACCCTCGAAAAATTGAAAATACAAAAACTACCGTAGGTAACCTATTTACCTACGGATTACCAACAGATAAAGGATATCCGTAGGTAATCTGTAGGTATTTACCTACGGATTACCTACGACAGTTTTTGTATTTTCTATTTTTCGATGGTCAAATATCTTTTTTTTCGTTTCATCTTTTTCACAACATAATAACAATAATAATAATAATAATAATAATAATAACTAGAAAGGTGACTAATAATAATAACTAGAAAGGTGACCCCCACGTTGCGGGGGTCGGAAGGTGTCGCTTTTGTGTGGAAGTATAGTACATTGTTCTAATTGGTAGATACAGTAAAGTATGTTGCTATTGTGTACGTTTCGCCCATTTACAAACACACAAATATGCTGCACTATGCTATAATATAATGACCCCTTTGTGTTGCAAAGTAAATAGCAAGTGCGGCAGCAACAATTATTTATAAAGTTTTTGTAACAACACCTCTCTACCAAAGTACAACTCCAAATGACGATTTTGACTTTTTGAGTATAATGTGGTTATGTTTTGTCTATGAAACCAATTTTGCACTCAAAGTTGTTGTCTGGTTATGTGAGGCATATAATCAGAGCAGGGTCACCATTCCCAACTCAAGAGCTTACACCCTTCAATATCAACCCCTTTGCCTGATTAGAAAGACACTTCAATAAATTTAGCAACTGAATATGTCAAATCTTCAGCTGGTCTTATAAGTAATTGCACCTCCTGACTTAGTGAACCTACATTTTCTAAATTAAATCAAGCAATAAATTTGCAATAGTTAATTCATAACCCGGAAAAAAAACAAATGTTCCTAACCTTATTTGAATTGGGAACAAAAATTAGTGCATCATTAACCGTTATTGAATTTAACCAACCTGGAGTAAATAATGACAACTGCAGTGCAAATGAAGAGTGTAATCAAATAACTATTTTAAATTTACAAACACCTTTAGCATCAAAATACCCATCAACTAACACACACACACACACAAAAATACAATAATTTCAAGATGAATCAACAGCCATTTCATTGTCACCTTTTTCCAATTCCATTCGCATAACACCGTCCTTCTCATTCTTCTCCACTTTCTCAATCTTTAATCTCTACCACATCAGTTCATTCAATATTAGTGTTTGAGTTTGACTTTGACTGATGTCAATGGAAAAAAAAGTATTTTATAAAAAGGAAAACAAAATTAATTGGAAAAAGAAGAAAATCAAAACCTTAGTTTGTATAGAACAATCGTTAGCCATTTGGGCAAACATATTTGCATAAAGTTTAGCATCTCTTTTGTTACTCTCAGCTTCAAGTTGCTTTAAAGTCTTGTGAATAGACTTTACCTCCCTACAAAATAACAAAACCAAAATAAAATTACAGAGGTTTAATAAAATGACCAAAATGACCTCCAAATTTTATAGTTTTACCTGTTTTGTGGATCGGCTTCCAAGGCCTTCTTGATGTCCAATTCAGTAAATTCATAATCATAAGTTTCCATGTAAGCTTGTGCCCTTCTGTATAAAGCTTTCACATTGTAGAACTCAACATCCAACACCGGTTGGAAACAACCTTGTATAATAATAATAATAATTAAAACTTGGAATTGTTTAAAAAAAAGTATAATGGTTTTATGATTGATTACCTTTGAACATAAGATGATTGCATTTTTGTGATCATCTAATTTGAGGCTACAAGCAGCAGCATTCAACCAGCATGAAACTCTTAATGATTTCACAACCTTTTCATCATAATCCCCAAACTCCCCTTCTTCACTAACATAATCCACTGCCTAAAAACATAACATGCATATCATATAAATGATTTATATTTATATTTTTTAAAAACTTTAAGAGTAAATTACACGAATGGTCCCTATGGTTTGGGGTAATTTGCGCGTTTGCTATTATCCAATTATTAATTTCTTCTTTAATTTATTTTTATCATTTATATTATTTTCATTTATTATTATAAGTAAGATACCAATTCCAATTCAACATGAAGCATAGAATTTGGTGGAATTGGAGAGAAACCATTGGGCAGTGATGTAATTGTAACCCCTTCTTCACCAAATCCATCTGTAGTTCATAAAAAGTCACATTATTTATCAATTTTAATTTATAATTATATTTATGGAATCTTACACTGTGGTTGAACAATTAAATCGGCTTTCTCTTCTCTTGTCATTGTCTTAATTGCTTTTGGAAGTGCCAAACATTAATGACCTAGTAAGACAGTATAATATTATTTTAAAGAAATTTGGTTACATGAAAATGGTTGAAAGAAAATAAACTAATTACATAATTATTTATTTACCATCTTTCAAGTAAAACTCAACACCTTCTTTTGGTGATTCATAAATTATAACACCATCGGGCAGCTTCACTACATACTTCACTGCATTAACCAAGATCAGTGAATGATTATATGTATTTTCACATCACTTATTAGTTAACAAACTTGATATAAAATGGAAAAAAAAGAAGTGCAAAAGAATACATATAACCTCATCCAAATCGCCAGGTTGTCCTGTTTCTTCCCCCTTCTTCACTACTCTCTTAAGAATGCCACCATCTTTACAGGCATCTAATACCGCGATCCATGAGAGAAGCTCTATTTCAAACTGAATGATAGAATTTGGAGGCACAACATTTGTGACTGAAACTCCAAATCCCAATTGGGGAGGCAATGTAAACAATGCTATTTCTCCTTTCTTCATTGTAAGTACTGCTTCATCAAAACCAGAACATATCTGACCTCATTGGTAATGTCAAACCAAAGCGACAACAGATGAAAGAATAAAGATCACATCACATTGTTACAGAAAAGAGAAAAAAAACAATGGTGAATAACAACAAACCTTGGCTAATCTTGAAGGAGAAGGGTTCCCCTTTTTCTCTAGTGGAGATAAATGTTGTCCCATCAACCAAACTCCCTACATAATGAACTGAATCCATTCAAAAAATTGATTATTAGTTTAAACATAATATTTAATTGGGAGAATGATAGTCAATTTGGAGTCTGGTTCCATGAATCCAATATCAATAGTAAAACAGAGTGATATTTGAGTAACTTCTTTCAATGAGCACTCCAACCTGGAAAATGAGATGTCATATATAGTCCGTCCTTTACCTATTTCAACAAAAATCCAATACGAAACCTTAAAAAAAAATCATAAATAACATGTTAGCTAAAACATTTCATGATGAAAACATAAAAAAAGAAAAAGAAATAGTAAAGGAAAGTGAAGCAAATAGGTAGTAGATTTCAAGTTCACATCTTCCAATTGAAATAGAAACAGAAACATCGTTGTTCATGAAGGTATGAGAAAACAATACAGATCAACCGATCTTTGAAAAATAGCAAAGTCGATAAATGATTTGTATTTCCAAAGTGAAGAAGCTGACAGATGTAAAAAAATAAACAAAAAAGTGAGCAACAACGCACCTCTAAAATTCACGAACTTCAAATCGGAGAAAGAGTTCAACCGATTAGGTCTTACAAATCGATTATCAAGGTAGAAAGGTACGAAAGAAAAAAACTGGAAAGCGAGGTTTGATTAATTTTGGGGGAGAAACTCAATGACCGATGTTCTTGGAAGCATAATACATTCACGTGAACATGGTAGACGTCGCTAGTAGGCTGGCGAAGGGAGCGCCCGATTGTCAAACAACCATTGGTAAATCGATTTCTATTTTCATCGACGAAGCAAAAATCAATAGATAATCGACGGAGAGAGATATTTGATGGGATAAGAGGGAAAACGGGTTTATGTGTCGACTTCGAAGGAAGAACGATCTATAAAATCGACAGATATTCCGTCAACAAATTTAGGGCTCGAAAAGACAGAGGAGACTGAGTGTGGATCGACGGTGAGGAGAAGAAATGGGGAAGTGCGGTGGTTTTAGGGATTTTTAATCGGAAGAGAGTAAGAAGAAGCGGTGGACAGCAACATGATCCTTATCGGCACAGAAAATAAAAAAAAATAAAAATCAGCCAATGACAGGAAAGAAGTGTTAAAATTTTTCACATCTTTAATATATATAATAATAATAGCCATGGCATGTATCACTCTGAAATTGCCCAGGTTCGACACCTACAGAATACCTACGCATCCCTGCTACCTACAGAATACCTACGCCTCTAAAAAACAATTTATCCCGCTCTCATAAAAACTTCCTCCTGCTCGTATCCCTCAGATCCCTTTTTTGCCCTAACATAAAAACGTCCCTGCTCCAATCGATTTCAGCACTGTCGTCCATTCCTCCGGCTACCTCCGTCGAGTTCTCCACTACCTCCGACCACCTCAGTGCCTCCCTTCTTCGCCACATCTGGCAGAACTCGACTTCACAACAGGTAAAACGTTAATTTTAGTTTCTAATATTTACCAATCGGATGTGTTTGTCTTGCTATTTTTAGGTAAATGAGTTGCGACAACAAGTGTCAAACATGCAACAAGCCATGGATTAAAGGCAAAGTCAAATGGATTTGCAAATGGAACAAATGCGAAATGACATGAAATTGAAAGTGCAAGGACAATTGGCTGCTTTTATGAGACAACTCGACCCGTCCGGTAATCCACCATGTAGTTCTTAGTTTTTGTCATGACATTGTAATGGTATTTTGAGTATTTGAATGTATGAATCTTATGTTATTGACCATTTTAACGACAATGAATGTAATGGTATTTGACTATTATTATAATTTTGTTTGTGTTTTTTTTTATTATTTTTTTTTGCATTAATTTTTAGCAGAAAATTTGGATTTGTTTTAAATTATAAATTTAATATAGCAACAAATTTTTGTCGGAATTGTATTCAATAAAAACTGGCAAAAAAATCATAGAAAAATTTGTAGGAAATAAATATTCTGTAGGTACTCTGTAGGAAATAAAATCCAATAAAGTTTGTAGGTATTCGGTAGGAAAAGCAGTTGGTAGGTATTCTGTAGGAAAATTAGTTGGTAGGTATTCTGTAGGAAAATAATGCGTAGGTACTTTGTAGGTGATCCGTAGCAAATAAACCTGTAGGTACTCCGTACCAAACGTGTTCCGTAGGTGTTCCGAAGGTAAATTTGTAACAGAATATTCCGTAGGAAATGCGTAGGAAAACTTGTAGGAAAAAATTACCCACGAGGGTTTTTCCTACAATCCGTTTTTTGTAGGAATTCTGTAGGTAACGGCTTTCTCCAACTGATTTCCTACAAATACTGCCGTAGGTAATTCCCTAGTTTTCTAGTAGTGCGATGAGATTGTAGACGAGTGCAAAACATTCTATTTTGCAGGCAAGGAATCGACAGCCAATCTTTTGACGTGGGTTTTTGTTCTTCTCGGATCAAATCACGAATGGCAGGAAAAAGCTCGTGAAGAAGTATTTCGGGTCTGTGGCAACGATGAGATTCCTTCAGCTGAGCATTTGTCCAGCTTCAAGATGATATAACATGATACTAAACGAAGCACTTAGACTCTATCCCGCAGCTCCAATATCTGTGCGAGAAGCCTGCAAGGATGTGAAGCTTGGAGGACTCCAGATTCCGGCCAAAACACAGCTTTTCTTGGCCATGGCTGCTGTCCATCACGATCGGAAGATATGGGGAGAAGATGCACAAAAGTTCAACCCCATGAGATTTATAGATACCAAAATACAACACATGGCTTTCTACTTTCCTTTTTGGTCTATGTCCTCGTAACTGCGTTCGCCAAAATCTGGCGATTGTTGAGGCCAAAATTGTTGTGGCTATGATCCTTAGGAAATACTGTTTTGTGGTTTCACCGACGTATGTTCATGCCCCAATCCAGGCTCTAACGGTTCGACCACAATACGGTGCACCAATGATCTTTACTATTGTTTCAAGTTGATACAACGATCGTGATGTATATTGAGTTTAATGAATGTTGTGTACCCCTTACACGACTAAAATTTTCATACACCATCTTGTAAAAACGTGATTTCCAATCGAAAAGTTTGGTTCTTACTCCCCATATGTCAACTTGACGTGATCAATGATGATAGTGAAGAACAATAGAATAAAATTAGATAGTTAATAAATTAGAGTTGTGCGAACGAATCAACTTTGAATTAATATTAAAATTACAAATGACGGGGGCAATCGTTTTTTGAGTGTTGACAACGCATAAAATACTCCTGATATATTTTCAGGTGATTATAGTTAATTCCTAATGCCAAATTTAATTATTATATTGTTTTTTAACGGAAGTCAAACTCAAGGTTCAAACATTTTGATTGGAACCCAATAACCACTCCATCCTTATTATATTGTTGTGAGAATATTCAGTCACATTATATTTTTTTTTGTAAACTTTGTAGTTGAATTAATTAATATATATATTATTGGATAAATAGCTTTCGACTTTTATATATGAGAAATTAAATTATATATATATATATATATATATAATATATATATATATATATATATATAATATATATATATATACAAAACTTTTTTTGGAATTTTTTTATCAAAAAAATCGCAGCTTTTAGTATAAAATCGCTGCAATTTTTTTTGAAAAAAAAACAATTTTTTTTATAAAAAAAATTTTGATTTTTTATTTTTTTTTCAGCGATTTTATACTAAAAGCTGCGATTTTTCTATAAAAAATTAAATTTTTTTTGTGATCTCTAAGTATTTTTTTTATGCATTTTTATGACTTTTAGGGTTTTTTTAGGGTTTTTTTGTTTTCCAAATAACTATTCCCTTATATATATATATATATATATATATATATATATATATATATATATATATATGAGAAAAAGTTCAATAGAGAACCATTATTAATCAAGGAACCAATGAACCAATCCAAAGCGTCGAAATTTAAAGCGATCAACGACAAAAGCAAGGGTTGTAGACTTTTACAATGGACGCACATGTACCGGATTATAATAAAACTCACTTCTTTTTTTCATTAAATATTTTTTTAAGCCATGTTTTTTATCGAAAAAAAAAACCGAATATACCGTTATTCACAATTGTTCGTCTTGTTTCCATAGAAATCCATGATGATATATAAAAACGAACTTTTTTTCGGAAAAAACCAACTTCATTTTTCTTTGTTGAAAAGTTAAGGTCTATTTTTTTATAGAAAAAAAAATAATAAATATACCAAAATTCATACTTTTTGGTACTTTTTAAACATAGATTCATATTATGTTAAAAAACGATATTTCAGTTTAGATTCACATTGTGAACCTTCTCAAATTCACAGTGTGCATAATAATAAGTCAAATTTACAATGTGAATCTAAACTGATCGAGCTTTTTCACATTGTAAATGTTAAAATTTGAAATATTTACAGTTTAGATTCACAGTGTGAATCTACTAATCGAGTTTTTTTTAGTCGGTGTTGATGTTTATTAATAGAGTACAAAAAATTAATTTTTTTGGTATAATTAGTTTTTTTTTTTTTGATAAAAATAAACTTAAATATTGAAAAAACTAACAAAATGAAGTGGGTTTTTTTCGAAAAAAAAAGTTCGTTTTTTATATATCAACGTGAATCTTTATGGAAAGAGGACGAAAAATCGAGAACAACGGTATATTCGGTTTTTTTTTCGATAAAAAATGTGGCATAAAAAAATTTTAAACGAAAAAAAGAGGTGAGTTTTTTGGTAATGATGTGGATTTTTTGGTATAATCCGGTGTGTGTGCATTCAATGTACAAGTGTACATCTATTTCCTTGACTGTTGATCATTATGATTTCTGACGCTCACGATTAGTTCTTTGGTTTCTTGTTAATTATGATTCTCTATTAAACATCACCTTTTATATATATATATATATATATATATATATATATATATATATATATATATATTATATATATATATATATATACTAGACGAATGTCCGTGCGTTCCGCAGAAAGACCTATATAGTTGAAATCTTTACAAATATATGTTTCTTTTTAAATATAACAATAACGTTGTTGTTAAATTTGATATAATAGTTCGTATACTAAATTGATATAATATATTGATTATTTTGAATTATATGATAATATATACATTTATTATAACTGCATAATCTCAATCGTTTCAATAACTTCTACCTGCAAGTTACTAATGAATAAAATTAAATATAATATATGGTTTAATGTTATTTATAGTTGTTGTTATTTTTAATTTTAAAATTTATTTCTTTGACGTTTTAATTTCTATCATTATAATTATTTAAAACATCAAACATTGTTTTTTGATTTTATAGGTAACAATATAATCATTTATATAGATTTATTGTTAACTATTGTTATTATAAGTTATTTTAGCTACATATTTGAAAACTTTTAACGATTATAAAAATATCTTTAGGAAATATTTTAGTTAAATTGATATTACAATTTAGTTTTTGCATTTAGCACTACAATTTATCAATTTTAACTATTCACAAAATATTCAGTGGATATTTTAAGTGGAACTAAAATTTATATTTAAGTTGGCACTGTAATGTTATATTTAAATTAACAATTTAAGTAGTTTGTCCAAAATGTTCAAAAGTTGTAGCTTTAAACTGATAATGGTTTACATACAACAACATATTAAATTTAATAATTTAATTATAATATGTTAAAAGTTAAAGTTATAACTTTATAAGTAGAAGTAAATATATTATTTTATTATTGAAATTTAATTTATTTATGGTTATACTTTAAGTTTGATATTTATTTAACCTTCTTAACCAAATTATAATCATTATTAGAAAGATACTACAATTTATCACTTTAACTATTTACAAAATATTGTTTGAGTTGTTTAACTTAAACTAAAATTTATATTTAAGTTGTCCCTGTAATATTATATTTAAATTAATAATTGAAGTATTTTATACAAATTGTTCAAAAGTTATAGCTTTAAAATGATAATGGTTTACATCCAACAATATATTAAAATTAATAAATTAAGTATAATATGTTAAAAGTTAAAAAACATAATTTTATATGTAGATGTAAATATATTTTTTAATATTGAAATTTAGTTTATATATGATTACACTTTAGTTTTAGTATTTATTTAACCTTATTAACCAAGTTATAATCATTATTAGAAAGAAAGTGAAAAGTCATGGAAGTTTCAAATGAATATGGTGAAAGGAAAAACGTTTCATTTATAATATAGTATGATATGATATGATATAATATATATATATATATATATATATATATATATATATATATAAGTTTTGACTTTTTTTTACCATCGAAGTCTAAAAGTTAACTTGATTTAGTCATTGAAGATCTGATCATATTAAATTGAAGTCTAAAGTCCGAGTTTTGACATGTTTTTTCCCCACATTATTTTCTGTAGTCGGTTGCCCGTTTCTTCTACCTACGTGACATCATATATTAGACATGTGACTTTTGATCATGTTAAATTAGACCACAAGTTTTTAAATTTTTTTTATTAAAAGTAAAAAACAAAAAAAATCAATTTTTTTGATTTTTTTAGCCAAAACTAAACATGATTTTAAGTTTTTTTTTTCATATTTATTTATTTGTTTTGCGTTTATTGCTTTCTTTTTCATCAACTTGATAATTTTTTTTTGACATTTTCCAAAAAGTATAAAATATAAGAATAGATTATAATATATTACTATAATTTTGGCCTTCTACTTTTTTTATAACTTTGGTTATTTATGTTTTTTCAAAAAGTATAAAACGTAGGAATATATATATATATATATATATATATATATATATCTATATATATATATATATATATATATATATATATATATATATATAGAAGCGGGTTCAAATAAAAACAACAAATAAAGTGAGAACGTGAGAACACTTATCAGCCAATCATTTTGTTTAATATATCCCATAAATTCAATTAATTAAATTAATCACGTGAGGTTAATTTACACATTTTGTATTAAACATTAATTTTATACTAAGTTTAAGATACCTATAATTTTGAAAATTTGAATTTTCCATATGTATAAAAACTTACAGTGAGTGTCAATAAGTTTGGTAAACTCCAATAGGTTTGGTAAACCCTAGATGATGGATGCACCCACCATCATCTCCCTTCACGAACCGATGTTGACACCCTCCAGACTTGTAATCGAGTTTAAAGCATTATAATCTAGTGAACCTTGTTTCTAGGGTTCGACAAGGCGTTTCCCGGTAAGGATTTATGTGCGATGTCTAGGGTTCCATTGTTGTTGCTCGTTCAATATTGTTCATGGTAAGTTTATATTCTCTAATCTAGTTAACCTTGTTTGTTTTTTCATCCATGGTATGCCGAGAAATCAAGAACCAAAACTCATGATTTTCTATAGAATCAACTATTTTAATAAGAAAAGATACCTTAGAACAAATATCATCGATCGTATGTTTTAATTTACTAATTTAAAAATTAACACTTGTGATTTGTTGCTACTGCTTGAATTAGTAAAAAAATGCATAGGATTAAG